TAACTTGCTGGCAAGAATATTGTGGGAGACCGTACCTAAAGCTTTGCTAAAGTCAAGATATGTCACATCCACTGACTTTCCCATGTCCACAGAGCCAGTTACCTTATCATAGAAGCTAATCAGATTGGTCAGGCATGACTTGCCCTTTGTGAATCCACGTTGACTATTCCTGATCACTTTCCCCTCTTACAAGTGTTTCAAAATGGATTCCTTGAGGATCCCCTCCATGATTTTTCTGGGGACTGAGATAAGACTGACTGGTCTGTAGTTCCCTGGATTGTCCTTCCCTTTCTTAAAGATGGGCACTACATTTGCATTTTTCCAATCATCCAGGATCTCTCCCAATCTCCACGAGTTTCCAAAGATAATGGCTAAAGGCTTCACAATGACATTTGCCAACTCCCTCAGTACCCTCAGATGCAGTAAATCTGGGTCCATGGATTTGTGTATGTTTAGTTTTTCTAAATAGTTCCTCGCTTGTTCTTTCCCCACCAAGGGCTGTCCACCTCCTTCCCATACTGCATTTCCTAGCGCATTTGTCTGGGAGCTGACCTTGTCCATGAAGACAGAGGCAAAGAAAGCATTGAGTACATCAGCTTTTTCCACATCATCTGTCACTAGGTTACCTCCCTCATCCAGTAAGGGCCCCACACCCTCTCTGATCACCCTCTTATTGCTAACATGCCTGTAGAAACCTTTCTTGTTACCCTTCACATCCCTTGCCAGCTGCAATTCCAATTGCGCTTTCGCCTTCCTGATAACTCCCCTGCATTCTCTAGCAAATTATTTATACTCCTCCCTAGTCATCTGTCCAAGTTTCCACTTCTTGTAAGCTTCCTTTTTGTGTTTAAACTCACCATGGATGGCCCCAGTAAGCCAATCTGGTCGCCTACCATGTTTGCTTCTCTTGCTGCGCATCGGGATGGTTTCTTCCCGTGCCTTTAATAAGGCTGCTTTAAAATACTGCCAGCTCTCCTGGACTCTTTTCTCCTTCATGTCAGCATCCCAAGGAATCCTGCCCATCAGTTCTCTGAGGGAGTCAGTCTGCTCTTCTGAAGTCCAGGGTGTGTATTTTGCTGCTCTCCTTCCTTCCTTTGATCAGGATCCTGAAATCTACCCTCTCATGACCACTGCTTCCCAGGTTATCACCCACCTCTACATCCCCTACCAGTTCCTCCCTGTTTGTGAGCAGTGGATTGACACAGGCATGGGCCCGCATCCAGACAGAGCTCCCTTGTATGTGGGGTAATATGGAAGAGTTCTCACAGGCATGTGTTTTAAAGGACCTCATTGATGGCCAATGGATTTCACCCAGCAATAAGAAAAATGCAGCTGGAGAAGCAGAGTCTGCAGACTCCAAGGCTATCCCCTTTTCTAGGGATGTTCGTTGTCGATTAATTGAATAATCGTGTAACCGTGTCAGATTTTAGCAGTTACACGACTATTCGATAGTCCCCGGGGATGGGGCCAGCAGCCAGTGTGCTCCCAGCCCCGCTCCCTGGGAGCTCCCTGCCACCAGCGCTGCTGCCGCTCTATCAGAGGCAGCAGTGTGGGGCAACAGGTTGCGGCCGCTCTGCGTGGGGAGCTGGTTTAAAAACTGGCTCCCCATGCAAACTGGCTCCCAGGTGCCACCCCATGCTGATACAGAGGCAACAGCATGGGGTGGCATTAGCCCCTGTCCCACAGGGGACCCCAGTTCCCCACAGACAGAGACTGTGCTGGCATTCCATGGAGCAGCCTCTGTCTGGCGAGCCTGGGTCTGCTGTGGACAGAGGCTGCTCCACATCAGCCTCCCTTCCCCCTCCACCCCCCATTCTGCTGCCTCTGATAGAGACAGCAGTGAGTGCATATGGGGAGCCAGCTCCCCTCAAGCACTGGCTCCCCCCCCATGCATATTGGCTCCCACTTGCCCCCCTTCCCCTCTGCTGTCTCTGATAGACAGGCAGCAGTGGGAGGCCAGCAATTCCACAGGAGCCAATACGCATGGGGAGCTGGCTCCCACTTGCCTCACTCATCCTCCATGCTGCTGACTATCGATCAGAGGCAGCAATGTGGAGGGGATTGGGGGAGGCAGCTCCACGGGCTCACCACCCCACCCTCCTGTCTCCTCTGTGTCAGAGGCAGTGGAGAGGGAGTGCATGTAATTGCTAGGATTAACCATTAAGCCCAGGCTTATCAGTTAATCGTGTGGTCAGTACATGTTGACATCCCTACCCTTTTCCACAAAACCCCCATGGGGAGACACTCTTATAGGACGAGGGAAGCAGTTTTTTGTACAGTGGCCAGAGCAGAGTAATGGGAAGACACCTGGACTCTGACCCTGATGCTCCCGCTAATCCAGAGAGAGGTCTGGAGCTGGTCACGTAATGTCTCTGGGTCTCATTTTCCATATCCGTAAAGTGAGTCTGAAGATTCCCATCTTGTGGCAGAATTGCTCCAAGTGCTGTGAGATCCTTGGTTGAGGTGGCATGGAAGGGCAAAGGACAGCTATTGACATGGGGAGAAATCGGTGCATTGGTCCTTGTTATGGAGAGGTTGAGAATGAGTTAAACTCCGCCACATGCATTCATTTCCAGAGCCTCTGCTAAATTTGCTCTTTCTTATGGGTGCCAATAAATCCTCACATTCCAGCCATGCTTCTCTAAAAGATACAGACATAAATTCTCATTTCTACTTGGCTAGTTTCATGACTGAAACAAAAGGAAATGAGAGCTGGGGGGGAGGGGGAGAAGCCGCAGTACAAGTGCACAGTTAGCCCATCGTGCAATATTCTCTTGAA